TGTTTGAGCCCATTGTTGCTGCGAGTCAATTCATCACATCAAGAGCCTTCCTCGTTTTCCCTACCCCTCCATTTTACCACGCATGGTGTCATTAAATTAAGGTCTCGCCTAACAACTAGTCCAAAGTATGTGAGACGATGTCTCACCATCCTTGCCTCTAAGCAGCATTCTGGCTGTACTTCTTCCAAGACATATCTGCTTATTCTTTTGGCAGTTCTGGTACTTCCAAGACTCAGAGTTCAAATAGATCGATTTTCCTTTGGTCTCCTTCATGACTTTATTGTCGCATACTCTACTGCAGGACTTAGGAACCCTGTTACCCAACCTGAACCCTAGTTTCTATCACTTGGCAGTTGTGTTATACGGACGTGTAATTTATCTTTTCTCCTATGTGCGGAATGGCCATCATGAGCCTTAATGGGGCAGTATACAAAATTATCTCTGCCTATTGCTTGGCACTTAATAGGGCAATTATTATTACAATACCATACCTTCTACCAGGGAACCCTGGTTGTGTAGTGAGTTACATGTTGAGCTGCTAACTACAAGGTCAGCAGTTGAAAGCTACCAGCTGCTTCTTAGGAGAAAGATGAGACTCTCTACTCCAATAAAGATTTATAGTCTCGCCAGGGGCTTAAGTGGAGAGCAAATGCTTTGAGAATGATGAGGGCAATGAATGTATAAATGTACTTTACACAACTGATGTATGTATGGATTGTGATAAGAGTTCTATGAGCCTCTAATAAAACAATTAAAGAAAAAGATTTATAGTCTCAAAAACCCACAGGGGCAATTTTACACTGCTGGACAGGGTCACACGGGTTAGAATGGGCTCAATGGCAATGTAGCATATTCCTTTTCCAACACTTGAATATGCAAATCTGCTTAGGGTATGCCTTTTGCATGTTAGGCTCTTTCATTATTCTCTATCCCTAACCCCTCTCTTACTTTTCTTTATCTTATTCTGTTAAGAGTTGTACTTCTTGTCATCCCCCTGAAACTGCCTATCTAGCCACCTCCATACTAAATACTTAAATATCCCAACTAAATTATTTGCAGGAAAAAACACGCTTTATATTTCTTAAAACAGAACAGAAATAAAACAGTTATTATTTAAATTCATCAAAACCAATTCAACATATACACAAACATTTTAGTATCTTTTAAATACACTTTTTGAAGCTTCCTTGTACACGACAGGTTTTATTATTTTTATTTGGCAACTTGTTAATTGAAGTAATAATTACCAAGTAAAAGTATTAGTAAATAAATACTTCAAGATTTAAATTAAACTGTCACATATAAAACTCCAGATCCTGAGAATACTCATACTCTAATAAGCTATGGTAAGTTGGAAAATTTAAGGACTAATTTTTTTTCTTAAGAAATTTAAACCGTTTATGACAAGAAAATCTCAGCCATAAATCTTTTGCAGCTCTTCGTCATCTATAGCTCTTAGCTCTTTAAAATCCAAGTGTGCGGCCTGCCCAAGTTAAAAACCAGACAGTTCTGAACACTTTATCACACTTGACTCATCTTCACAGCAGAAGGGCATTTCAAAATCTGTGATGTCTTCTCATCGAGGAGCCCTTCTGCCAACTAATTTGGGCACTCCCTGGCCCAAAACACTCCCTTTCCTAACTGCTACGACTTAAGAAACTCTATGGTACAGTTATTAATCTTACGTCAGTCCGTTTGTTGGACAAGGAAGGTAGTAAATGGGCTGTGATGGAGAAGTCATTAAGGCAACCAAGGCTGCCACTGACCACGGTTGCCATCTATGACCTGAACCTGGGCACTCAGCAGTGGGAATGAGAGAGAAAGAGAGAGAGAAAGAGGGGAGGTGGGGGAGGGAGAGAGAGTGAGTGTCTGTGTTGCAGGACTGGTACAAAGGACAAACAGGACTGCTCAGTACAAATGTTTATTCCCTATGATTGGGGGGTGGGGGGTAGGGGTAGTGTTTGCATATTCTATTTTTAAAATATGTACAAAAGTACAAGGGGGCTTCAAAAACCTTGTGGAAAACCCGGATTATCTTTTTAATCCCATTTCCCACAAACTTTTTGAAGCTTCTGGTACTAATAAGTTCCTTCCTTATGGCTAAGGTCCCAATCAGCGGAGGTGAAGAAAGTCAGATAGTATCTAACAAAGCAGGAAAGAAGGAAAGAGATCCAAAATAGATTAGATGTGCGCATACTAATGGCCAAAGACCAGATGACATCAAGAACACAAAAGGTCATTAAAAAGACAGGAAAGAGAGAACAAAATTCTGAAACTTGCTCTTGAATGTAAAGTAGCTAAAGCAAAATGAATAATGATGTACGAGAGCTGAGCAGATTTCAAAGGATGTACTTCTTGCTCAAGTAAAGGATTATAATGACATGCGGAAAGACCTGAAGTTAAAAAACATAAAAAAGAGAATGAACATATTCAGCATTTCTCAAACTGAAATAACTACAGAAAAATTCCAATTGCAAGTTGCAATACTGGAAGATTCTATGGGCAAGATGTTAAATGACATGAGAGGCATCAAAAGAAGAACAAGAGTCCCTGTACCAAAATGAAATGGTCAATATTCCAAACCATTTCATGGGGTACCATATGATCAAAACCAATTACCAAAGAAGAAACGCACACTATACTGAAGACTTAAGCAAAAAACAAAGCCCCAGGAACTGACACAATACCAAGGGAGATGTTTCAACCAAGGATGCACCACTGGAAGCTCTCTCATTCTCTTCCAAGAAGCTTGGGAGACAACCACCTGGCCACCTCACTGAAAAAATCCCTGTGTGTGCCCAAATTTCAAAGGAAGATACAGAATTAAACAATACCACCAATAACATAAACAAATCACGTTCAAAAATAGTTGAAGTGGTATATCAACCCAGAACGGCTAGAAATTCAAGCCAGATCCAAAGAGGATGCAGAATGAGGGATACAGTGCTGACCTTAAGTGGGTTTTGGCAGAAAGCAGACAACAGCAAAAAAGATGGTCACCTATGTTTCAATGACTGTCCAACGGCATTCAACATAAAAATCTACGGATAGCATTAAGGAGAATAAAATTCCATACACTATGTACAGAGAACCTGTACATAGACCACAGAGCAGTCACTGCAACAGAACAAGGGGACGATACCGCATGGTTTAAAACCAGGAAAGGTGTGCGTCCGTTGTAGCCTTTCACCACACTTCTTCAACCGGTATGCTGACCATACAAGCTGAGAAACCGGACTGTGTGAAGAAGAGCGTGACATCAGGACTACAGAAAGGTTTGTCAACAACCTAACAGCTGCAAAGGACCCCCTGCTTGCTGAAAGTGAAGAGTGCTATCAGTAAGAAGCACTTACTGGTAACAAACTAAGGCGATAGCCTTCGCTATAGATTATACCTCAACATAAAGAAGACAAAAAGTTCTCCTAACTGGACCAGTAATTATTTAATTTTTCCTGGAGTCACAATCAATACCCATAGAACTAGCAGTCGAGAAACCAAATGATGGGCATTCTATCAGGCAAATCTGCTGGCTGGGACTTCTTTGACGTGTTAAAGGGCAACTACGTCACTTTGAGGACCAGGGTAGCCAGACCCAAGCCATGATGTTTGAACTGTTTCACATATATGTGACAAGCTGAACAATTAATAAAGAAGACCAGAGAAGAACTGTGTTTGAGCTGCAGTACTGATGACTACTGAATGAACCCTGTACTTCCAAAGCGAAGATCACATCGGCTTTACGAGAAGTGTGGCCTGGCTAGCTTTTGTCTGATGCAGTGTGAACACTTTATCAGGAGAAACCAATCTTGGCAACAGGACATCAGTGACAGAGATCAGAAAGTCTCCCCATGACATGGATTCACATAGCAGCTACAAGCATGGGCTCTAATGGAAAAACGGTGTTGTGGATGCCCTACACTCGCTAGTGTTTTAATCTATTGTACATGGGGTCCCTGAGAGTCAGAACTCACTGAAGGGCACCTGACAACAACTACAATGAAGTAGAATGAAGTAAACTTTTCATCAGTACCTACTCTGTCCTAGTACTGCAAAAAAATCTCCTCGTTCATTTCCTTGAACATTTCCATCCTACTGTAAGGGGCATTGTGAATGCCATCCTAGCATCGTCCACTTGGCAGATGAGGAAAACAACAGGGTGTTTTTTTTAATAGTTAGCCAAATACTAGGCAGAAAAAATTATATTACACTACAGTTTATCTTTTGTGAAAATGGTAAGATATAAATGTTCAACATCAGTGCTGGATCTGAGAATAAGACTATACTTCAATTATTCTCAGGGTAGACTGAATGTCTGCTTCAGAAGATGGGTTAAAAATTTCTTAGCTCGGTTTTCTCCTCAAACCACAGAAGAACACGGGAAGCTTCAACTCTAAAGTATTAGACACAAGAAGGCCCCAAAACGCCACCATGTGTCAATAGGAAGCAAGCTAGTTCGTTGCTTCAGAACGGAAGCATTAAGAAGTGCTAGCTTTTACTTACTGTCCCCTTTATGTATTAGCAACTAAACAAGGTAGCACATAGAACCTTGTTTGGGAATAAAACGCATCCCACAGGAAACGGGATAAAAAATAAACATCACCCATGCTCCAGTTTCCTTCAAAGCATAATTACTATTTTCCAGGAAAACCTTACCAATGCATAAGGATTACTCTCTGAGCTCTAATGATCGTGTCTCGCTCACCTGGAGCCGTGTTGATCATGCTCTGCTGCACTGGTGGGCTGGTGGGGGCTGTGACGCTCATCTGTGACAGCATGGCCTTCCTGGGGTCCTGCCATGTTGTTGTCTGGTCGATGTGACTGAGATAACAAAGGGGAAGAAGCACAATTGCATTAGCTGTAAGAAATAATGGGCATAAACACGTTATGTAGAAACGTCCAGTCATGTCATCTCCATGCTCACACCTCTAACTCTATCACACGTTTTCTTACTTAAATGCTCAACCTTCTCCTTTTAGACCCCAAAACTGCAAGGTTTGAAAAGTTGTGCCTGAAATTTCACATGAAGGGAAATAATTTTCACCCAGAAGGTAATGATGGGTTTTAGTTGGCAAGCAGTTTCCCCTAATGAAATACTGCTCAGTGCCTCACTCCCATAACTGGATCATCACAGTGATCCCCTGGCTGGGTTTTGAAAGTAGAGTACCAGGTTTTTCTTCCTGGTCCATCTTCGTCGGGATGCTCTGCTGAAATCTGTGCAGTACTGTAGCAACACTCAAACCTCTTATGACAATAGGCAGTTGCTGCACAACACGTGCAGTGGCCAGAAAGGGAACTGGGGTTTTCGGCAGAGGAATGGATTACGCCTACTCAGAGCAACCCTACAAGACAGAGAACTATCCCTGACTGCTCCATCTTTCTTCTGCTTAATTACTACCCACTTTTACTTCAAAGATAACATGCAGTTTTAAAATTAATCATCTAAAGCAAAAGTCGCATGACTAAGTCTAAAGATGAACAAGGAAGTCATCCATTTTTGTCTCCTAGAGATAAGAGAGAGTCCAGGAATGGCCCAAACCATTAAGTACTGCAAACCATTAAGATTGAGTTTACCCAGAGGCTCATTGGAAGAAAGATCTGATGGTCTACTTTCACAAAACCAGCCGTGAGAAAACAAACCAAACCCACAGAGCACAGTTCTCCGCTGACAGATGGGATCCCCATGAGGTGCAACTGACTTGACTGTAGCTGGGTTTTCTTTCTTTCGAGAGATAAAGATACCAATTCATACACAACTTTAGGTCTGCAACAATCTTGACGCAGACACAAAAAGATGAAAAAAGTCAGATGTAGTCCAGAGACAGAATAGAATAAAAACTTCCCCCTCTAAATTTGCATCCTTCTGAGATTCTCTTCTTACAGAAAGGTTCTCACATTTTCTAAATATTAGCTAACTACAAACTATCTTATATCAGTATGCATATGGATTTCTTCATCTATAAAATTGAGGATTGAAAACTACACACGCAATGAACAAACGGCTACAGGTACTTGAACATTCGATAAATATTAAGTTTTCTTCCTTCAGCAAGATTTGCTTCTGTGAAACCCAAACCAAAAAAGACTAAACATGAAACTACCTTTAAAATTAATCCTATCAGAGCAGTACAGGAAGATTTATGCATACACTTTTCTTCAGTATCATTTGTAACAGCAAAAATGCGAACGCTAGCTAACACTACTAATAGAAGACTGGTTAAATAAACGTGGTTACACAAGGGGGCTTCGAAAAGTTTGTGGGAAAATTCCATTGTCTTTTAACTACATTTTTTTCCCACAAGTCTAGAAAGAAGGGGCTTTCTACTCCCACAAAAAGTGATCGTCTCAAAACCCCCCCGGGGCAGTTCTACCCTGTCCAGATGGGTCACTATAAGTTGACTGGATGGCAGCAAATTCCTCTGTTTTTATTTTGTTGTTTATATATGATAGAATATTATGCTGTAGTTGAAAATACTTTATACTTAATAACACAGAACGTACTCACAATAAAGTTTCTAAATGGGAGTTGTTGTTTTGAAAGTAGAGTACCAAGTAAAGTAGGCATAGGTTGACTGAGAAAGAGCTATCACTGTAAGTTGGGAGTAGACTGCAGTAGATGAGAATGGGTCTATGGGAAGGACTGACATTAAGATGTTTGGGTTTGTTTGTTTTTTTAATCATTATATCGGGGGCTCATACAACTCTTATCATAATCAATCCATCCATCCACTGTGTCAAGCACATTTGTACATTTGTTGCCATCATCATTCTCAAAGCATTTCTTTCTATTTGAGCCCTTAGTATCAGCTTCTCATTTTCCCCCTCCCTCCTCCCTCATGAACCCTTGATAATTTATAAATTATTATTATTTTTTCATGTCTTACACTGACCGATGTCTCCCTTCACCCACTTTCTGTTGTCCATCCCCCTTGATATAGGTAGATCATTTCTCCCCCCACCTTCCCCTTCCCCTCCTGGTATGGCTACTCTCAATATTGGTCCTGAGGGCTTTATCTGTCCTGGATTCCCTGTGTTTCCATCTCTTATCTGTACCCGTGTACATGCTCTGGTCTAGCCGGATTTGTAAGGTAGAATTGAGGTCATGACAGTTGGGGGGGGGAGGGGGCCTTAATAGCTCCGATGAGACATTAAGATGTTTTAACAGGGTCCACTTGCAGCTGACTTGGGTTTGTCAAAATCACAGAAGAGCTCTGCTTTCCTTGATTTCCCTATTCCTGGATCATGAACTAACTTTTACTTTGGAAATTGGGGACAGGAGAGGAAAATATGGGTTATTTTAAAAAAGGACCTTCCAAACCAAAAAGATTTTTGGTGCACGTATTGAAAGCTCTAATCTAAGTTCTTTCTTCCTGAATCACCTCATGATAAATGCCATTTAAACAGTAAGGAAATGACATCCTGTCATTAATTCTCCTGGAATGGAACTAGAATGCTATATCAATAATTATATCTTATCAGCAATGCAATTTAAAAGGATCACAAACTCTGCTGGAGTGGACCTTTACAATCTACTGGAGATGGGAGTCCCTTAAACCTCTAGGCAAGCAGGAAGGAGGTTACAAACAGGACGAAGAATGTCTGCAGTAACCACTGGACGACATAACTTGGATAATCACCCATCTTCTGCATCTCGCCCGTTCATAAAGAAGAGAAATTCACTGGCTTTTAGATAGGGTGCCCTGCACTGTCCAGTATGGGGGCAGTGACACCACACTGTGACAACAGAAGGGTCCCACCAGTTCAATACATGTACCACCTCCTGGGATCTTATTTGAGCAAGTTGCATACGAACAAGTTGCCAACTTCTATTCCCTGCTCCCAGGATGATGAGCCAAGGGCAGCAGACAAAAAGGAGGGGATGCTGGAGAAGTGGGGCTGGAAAATCTGGTGTTGGAATTGGTACAAGCAGAGACGGACCAGTCCAAATCCCCCTCCTTCCCTGACCTAAGAACAGCAATCACAATGGTTCTCATTCACTTCTCAAAACAATCTCCTGTGATGAATCAGGCCACAGAGGCTGGGAAAACAGGGTGAGTGGCCTTCAGCAACACATCTATAAGAGTGTTAGCTGCCGTCTCAGTGCCCCTTTCACTATATCAGTCTCTAAACAGGAAACTATTTTCCAAGGTGATTATCGGCCATTTTACCAGGTAATTTTTACAAATAATATCATTTGAAAACAGAATCATAAGATTTGACCAACCGTTTCCTACAACATAAGAATATAGTGGTAATGGTACGTCGAAAGATAGAAGTTTTAATAATAGTAAACCTATTCTTAACATAAGTTACTTTAAATAAAAATTTTATGAAATAATTAGCATTCTCGGCTACAATATTAAAAATCTGGTTGTTGTTGGGGTCCCCCCACCTAAAATATTTATTACATTTTCTTCTACAGGTAATTTTTTTGTTGTTTTGGAAAAGCAACAAAGGGCCCCAAAAGTACCTAATTTTTACTTAACCTTTTAAATACCTAAATCTGTAGGGATAACCCTACCCCCACCCTCACCTTTCCCCTTTAAAGGCCTTCTTTGGAGAACAGCTAGGAAAACCGGCAGATATCACCATTCTGGTGATGACCAGTTGGACCTTGGTGACAGGTCATGTTACCAATCTGTTCTGCCTTTGGTGAATTCAGTGTGATCCTTTTCACGAACTTCCTAGGGTGGTGGAGATTAAATTCAATAACATACAAAACACCAAGTAGGACTGCAGCTCTTGGTACACAAAAGGCTTTCAAACATGTGCCCTGACTTCCTTCCTGTTCTGGTCCAAAGTTTAAAACAACA